GGCTCATATCTGGGGCCAATTTGGTAGCAAACGACGAAAATAAAGATGGGCACTAAGATCTTCGAGTCATCGCAGTGACCAAAGCATCGCGAACGCAGATAACCCCATATAATTTCTTTCGCGGATGCTTTCAGAGGATTTGGCAGGACTGTCCAGATTTTCAGCCGGGACAGAACAGCAAAATCAACGCCTCTTTAGTACATTATTCGAGAGCGTTGACAAGAAACCTCAAGACTGCGCACATGAAAGGATGGCCTGCTGACAATAGCAGAGGAAGTGCAACTTTTGTGTCGCCGTCAGAGATATGCCTGGACCAGCTGCTTAGTCAAAAAAACCGAAAAATCTGACCATTTATTCGTACCGAAAGAACAATAGACAGAAAGTGGGATTATTTGATCGGAATTCCATACAGGGAAGTCAGTGTGACCGCGAATACTTCCAAAAGGCCGACGCACCACGGAGCTCTTCGAAGAAAACTATCTCGTTAAACAAAGCACAGGTTTAAGGCAACCTTTTGAAAAAAACTTGTAACAGAACGGTCCCCTAGGTGGCATTTACGTTCCCCCTGGATGATGAAGCGTGAAAATGCGGACTCCCAAGCACTGAGGACCTAGTTCTACGAGGCTAATGAGAGCCCAAATCTATGCCATTCAATGCGTGCATTGAAATCTGCGTTTATTTCTCTAAAACAGATGCCACCTGCTTAAAACGTCAGCGCATTTTCCGAAGGTATGAGAGCCTATCAAAGGCAAATACAGCAAATCTCTTTTCTAACAGACAGTGGCTATCCTAAGGAAGTCGATAAGGCTTTTAAGTTTCCAACTGATATTTTGAAAACCGGGTACCACGTTGACGACATTTACTGCAAACATCTGAGATGATAGCGAACAACTTATGCTTCCGCTTTGGGAAAGTACAAACAAAGCAATTCTCACAACCAGCTTTTTATGCTTTAAAATTAGTCAGCCTACAGGAAGCATATAGGTCGACGTAGGCCGTGTTCCAAAAGTTCCGTGCCCAGGGTAACACAAATTCCAAGGATTCCGAAAAACCGCCTGCTTTGATTGAACGGATAAGCCCATTTGCAATTCCGACCCAAAAGAGCTGTAGAATGCTTATTTATACAGGGAGAATTATAAAAAATCTGTTCATGTTTGTCATTCGGTTTTATAGGTTCTTGCGCTGAAAAGCTAGCCTTGCAGTTTATGAACACACACAAGTTAACTTTAGCAAGCCAAAACGTTTGTCACGAGACCGCCAGTTTCCGAAGGACACCAAAATGCTACTCTTTTCAGCGCAACGAAACATTGTAAAAACAACACTTCTAGAGGTAGAAAGGAGGGAAGACAGAAAATGCGGGTGGATTGATACAGTCTGTTCAGTGCCTTTTCTGTCTTTATTCATTCAGTCATAAGCCTGACTATCAGCTGGGACTAGAAACATTTACATGCGCTCGAATACGGCGCCGATAGTCAACCGACTGGGTCTAGCAGACGGGTCATAAGTCCTTCATCGAACCGAGGTTCATCAGTACCTCACCATCTACCCTCCGCTGTCGCTGCATATGACGTGTTTAATCAAACGGAAATAGACGCAAATTGCTCTATTGGCTTTCCGTGGTAAAAAAAAAAACTCCGTACGGGTGGCAATAACATCATTAGCTGACGTAGACAGTCTCAGTTATATATGTAAAACAGTTTTCAGTGCGGTAAAACGCACCCTGAGCCATATATGGGAACTTTTAAACTTTCTGACAAAACGAACGATGATAGACAGAAAACAACATACACACGCAGTATGCGCATTCAGGGCGCATTATTTTTCTTCAGGCTTTATTTGTCGGCGCCTCATTACGCAGAGAGGACAGAGTGACTACCATCATGTTCTCAAATTAGAATTCAGCATGTTGCACCCATGTGCTTCACGTTCATGTGGTGAAGGGCAGATGAGGACATGCATTGATGTTAAAGGAACCTGCACTGAAGAAGACCTGAGGGTGAAAATCTCTCTCTTAGGGAGTCAGACAAGGAGTAAAGGGGCTAAATGCGTAGAACGAATCAATAAGACTTGCCAGGCCTGCAATCGCAAAGGCAACTGGTCCCTCTTTATGAAATGAAGATCATACTGACACAAGAAATAATCAGTTCACAAAATACTAGGGGCTATGAACGAATATAACACCAGCTAGCTTTGAATCAACGCATATATGTTGCAAATGCGAAAGTCAGGACATTAAAACTCTTGTTTCAGTGGTCGCACCTCCTTTTGCTGTTGAAAATGTGTTAACCAACCCGTTTACTGGTTGTGCTCGTCCGGGCATACCTTGAGGCTTGATCAGACCCATCCGCAGATAGTTTAATAATGACCAATAATGATAAAGGAAGGAACATGAACGAAGACTTGAGTGAATGTGATGAACATTTCTGCTCCATTATCAGTCTTCAACCGGCCTCTCAGAACGTTAGGTTTGAAGGATAAGAGTTTAAAACCCACATTATTTGGTCATCGAGCGTTATTATGTCCACCGTTCAGCGATTGAGCCACCAGCCTGGTTGAGAATGGTGACCGAAAATGGTGTTTCCAATTATGCAAAACCATCATCACAGCTGGTTGTGACCTTAAATGGAGTCTGTTTGCTTCTGGCAATCAACAAATCAGTGTGACCCATTCCTGTAAAAGTGTCTATTTCGTCCACCGAAATAGCCATGCGACAGACACGTTGAACCAATAGGGGGACTGGATCAGGCATGGCAGGAGGTATCGGGGATGCTCACCCGTAACAAATGCCAGCCACTGGAAGTGGGGTAGTACGTCTAGGTAGAGATTTGCACAGCACCAGCCACCTGCGCCCTCAACTCACCGAGATTGACCGCTGACGGTTAACATTAATTGGCAGTGAAGAGACAGATGAAGGTTCGTGAGTCCAGCACGGATGTAATACCAGACAGGCGTCGAGGCCGAAGCAGTCACGGCCAGCAAGAGGGACCACCACTACCACCTTACTCTGATCGTGGGACCGAGAGTGTTTCCGAAACGTCCGTCTAAATATACGCTGGTCCATGAACTCGTCCCTTCTTATTCGTCTTCTTTGGCAGATGATGAAAACGATAAGACATACGGACTCAAATCCTCACGCATATTTCATCGTATATGTGCAGGTAGGGGATACGAAAAACAGAAGGAAAACCGGAGTGATTATTTCTGGCTTTTAAGCCACCCTCAGTCAACCAGACTACCCCCCCCTGTATTGAACACTCCGTGGGATTCAACCACTGGACGTTTGGTTAGTGAGTTCAGTGGTCCACCATTGAGTGGAATGGCTCGTCGGAACAGTTTTATTGTATGTCTGAAGTTTAAGAGACTTGGGTAGGATATCAAATGTCAATGCGTTTTCGGCACACAAACAAATAAAATGCCTGGTTACCTGCTGGGCTAGTTATCCTTGGGTTTATGGGCGTTGATGCCGGGCAAATATGAGACGTACCATATCACTTAAAAGGAGGATAACTGAGTATTTGAGCTGGTCGATTGGCTTGCGGGCATCTATGCTTCCCCGTTGAGAGAACCCGACATCAACATCTTTCTGGTCAATTTGATTAATTTCTTTGCTTTTATCCTGTGCAAAATTCTTTAGCTAATTAATTAGGAATTGTGGACTCGAAAAGAAAATAATACGTCTTGTGGTGAAATCAGAGCCTGAAAACGATGCATCTGATTTTAATGGCTTCACGCTTAAGCTGTTTTGGCCTAGGATGGTTGCGCCTTGAAGACCAAATGCAACACAATTGTTGCCTTTCGATTGCAAATCAAGAGATTAGGGATAAACACTAAGTTCACAGGCCTTGCACTTGTAGCCACTGGGCTCCAATCCGAACCTCTCAACAGTAAGGTCATGACACGTTGTCCTATTTCTTCCAATCTGGAATATTAACTAGACTGGGAGCATCATTTATCTATCCCAGCCGCTGCCCCTTCTTATTGTGTGAATACCTAATCCGTTGACCAGACGTGTGTAGCATGGACAGCTTATGCGCTCGATCTCGGCACCAGTATCCTGAACTCTGTCATGAAACCTGTTCCGGCGAGTGAGCGGGGAGAATATGCATTAGATGCAACGCAAATGTAACCGCCCCTGCATCCGCCATGCTGGGGGACACAAGCTGGCACTGACGATCTAGCTGTCTTATCGTCTAGAGACCAGTTTGCGATTTTCACAGGAAGTTGCACGACGTCTTTCAATAACTTAAAATATTTTTTGACAAAGATAAAGGGTCCCCGGACGGCCATTGCCGGATTATTTACTGGTGTCAGTCATTCATACCACACGGAGTCCTATTATCTGCCTAGGTTTCTAACCTTTTTTCTTTTTAAAACATTTTCTGCGAGGGATACCCCAAAAGTCATTTATCACAGAAAATCAGGACAAAAGAAATTGCTGCTCTTTAGACCTATAATAGGAACAAAAAGAACCCTTCATTCCTCTTCTAAAGCCCACGGATTCAAGTGCTACGGTAAACTCGAGTAATCACTAAAAGTTAGTTATAATTTGAGCAAACCGTGTGGAATTGTTGAGAGATAATGGGGGTCCAGGAGCATAAGTTTGTCCACACGATTCCATTTGAGAGAGAATTCAACATAGTCACCCGCGGTAAAACGATGTTTTGAGAAAGCGTCAAATAGGGTCTTGTGTAGTTTGGTATCAGAATCAATATCATGAAAAATGAGAAGGCGCCAATCAATGAATAGACGTCGAAGATCGGCCATTGCATCATCCACTGCAATGTCCAGTTTTAGGTTATTCAGCATATCCTGCAAAAATGCCACCTCTTCGGAACTGAATTCTTCAAAACTAGAAGGCAAATCAGATTTGGCTTGTTACCCTCAGACTAGCAGCAAACAACTCTGGCTAAAACAGTTTTTCTGCTGAGGCAGTAAAAAAATTTTTTAGAGAGATTTCAGAAGAGTTGGGACTCGGTTAAAGCAAGAATGGCAAACATATTATAAACATTAATGAATTTTAAATTTGCGAAAATTATCAGTGAAAATTTCAGAAGATAAATTGGCGAACATAAGTTTGTTTTTGATAAATTCTCGTCAGGCCTTTACATTAAAGATTCCTTTGACAGCGTCTGTTGGCTACGGTAGAAGCAGTCGCCATCAGGATACGCCGATGTGTCCTGTGCGCCCAAAAGAACTTCGTCGCAGCGCCGCAGTTACCATGGCCGAAAGTCTCTAATCCAACGGCCCATAGCTTATCACCTATATTGGTAAACCAGACCCCCCTAACGCTAATCAGATTTTTGACCCCGATTCGCATTCCCTCCCCCACATGCCCTGAAAACCGCATTATTTCTTCTACCAACTCGCATAGTTTATTTAGTTAATTACCATATCAATATAAAGGCCTGGCGAGAATTTATCGAAAACAAACGGATGTTCGCCAATCTATCTTCTGAAGTTTATGAATTTGTTTGTAGTCAGAGGACAATACCATGTTTATCTGCGATTAATGATCGAAAGCGGCTGCATTCGATCCAAATAAGTTAAACAGTATTATGGCTGCTCATTGATAACACAGTTTTCGGTTACAGACGATTTTACGAGTTATATGTTTAAAAAACATACTGTGATAACATAGTTACTTTTGAAGTATTTTTATACACGAGTTGAATAATACAAACAGTTCTGCTGCAGTTGATTTGACTGCGATCACATCTAATTAACCCAGTTAAATTGCGTTCAAAGACGCCTCAAAAGCCTATATATTCAACGACTAAGTAGTATCTTAACAGCATTTAACATAATTTATGCCGAAAAAGCGAGACATCCAACACTTATGTCCTGGCGCTCAGTTTTTCTTTGCTTTCATCCAACCGAATCCCAAATACATGATAGTCACATTGATATTTTAACGGAAGCTTTTGGCAGAAAGTTTTAGCAGTGTGGTTTGGTATAGGGCAAAAGCATCCAATTTACAAAATGCGTTGCAGGACATAGTTTGCGAACTAGTGCGTGAGCCATTTAAACTGAGTTGAAACCTTTTATATAACAGTGAATTTGGACGTCCTCCCGTTACTGGATCCATAAACTCTCCAGGAAACAAAAGAAGAACTAATAGTTTGGATGAGAAACCTTAAACTGTGCGATATCTCGCATTCAAAGTTGAATTAATCACCAGAAGGTGGGAAGGTGAAATTAAAATAGTCGGCATCTTGCCTCTGTCAGTCATTCGGTAAATAGGAAGCCAGTAAAATTTACTCAAGTGGTTGGTCTTAGCATTCTTGGTTAAAGACCCGTATTGTATGTGTATTATGCCACATCTACAGTCATAGAGCTAATGGGCTAGCAACTTATCCCAGGGGGTTAAAAAGTTGATGTGCACTCGGGTAAGCGGCAGTTATGCTGTTTTTTAAGACGACCGGTACAAACAATAAGCAAAAGCTGCTTAATCGGATGCGAAATTAAAATATCCGCATGACTCGCTTCTTGGTAAAGGTAGACGGGGCATATTAGTTGCTCATACAAGCGAACACGCGAGTCCCAGGAAGGTTTATTAGTTTCAATTCTTCACTAAGAAATAGTATGCAGGGAAAGAACTCCCTATGGAGATAACAGATTTTATTAAATGCGCAATAATGCTTCGTTACTCGAATATTAAATGATTTCATATATATCCAATAAACAGCGGGATTTGTCAATGACAAGTGCTACTGCTTTTTAAACGTTGGTGCAAGATACTGTCAAACTGTAAGCATAACGCGTGCTGGAAAAGAGGCGTACAAAAACCCTCGCGATAAATGTAACTCACTCGTCTTTGTATGCTTTGTGAAACTCCATGGCCTTTGCTATGACATCCACAGCTCCATTGCTGGGGTGTGGAAGAACAAGGGGGATATGGCGGTTAATTCGGGTCTCGGCTTCCGTGATGTTGGCAGCAGTGCCGCCCCAGAGGAGAGCAATCACGAGCGCGCCTCCGTCCACTATAAATGCAAAACCAAGAGGCATTAGTGGATTCCATAAGAGCAGTAGGTTGGGCGGGTAAATCGATCCAAGGGTGATCAAATTAACGGCTCAAGGTAAGCTTCGTAGCTTAATGGTAGAATGTTGGCTGTGCAAATGCCTTCCCTGCCGCGTGGGTTCGAATCCCACCGAGGCCACACATTTTTCACAATTGGGTCAACTGAATTATTAAAATCTGCTAAAACCTCCTAATAATTAAGTGAGCCTAGTAACCATTCTGTTGGACTCTAGATGATTGCTTAGGAAATCCTGTCTGGGCAGTCAGTTTACTGTATCCGTAATGGTGGGGTCCATAGAAGCAGTTATTCTTGTGGATACAATCGATCCAAATGTTATTAAATTCATGGGTCACGGTGAGCCTCGTAGCTTAATGGTAGAGCGTTGGCTGCGCAAAACCCTTCCCTGCTGTGTGGGGTCGACTCCTACCAAGGCCGATAATTTTTCAGGATCGGGTCGACTGAGTCAAGTTAGCATATAGGACTGGCATATATGTGCCATTTACGTGATCGTGGGAATCTGGAAAAGGAAGTTACTTAAGAACAGGAGTACATATCATACATCAGGTAAAAATTTCATGTATAACAACTTCTTAATAACGTATGTGGCCAATTTTGTATTCAATCATTGACAGAACGTAGAGGCAAATTGCCGACTTACGCCATTCAGCAAGTTAGATGTTTCAGCCAAATTTACGTAGAAAAAAAGAGATATCACGTAGAGTGGAAGAAGTGAACCGAAATGCCCAGTCCAGACGATTACTAAGAAGTTCTGCTGTTTGCTGAGGCCCTTTTAATGAAGCCGTTGATTTTTGAATGAATTAAGCGATGCCAGACGTTTTCGCCTAATTGAAGCCTTGGGAACTTTAAGTTTAAACGACTAATGAATTACCACACCAATCTCAAATAAAAGTTTAGAGAACAACCTTCGGCTCGTGTGCCTTCATATGGTTTGACTCCGAACCCTCTGCTTAACAGCCTATAAACACAAATGCTTTCCATGTTTCTAGACTACACAATTCATCAAACACAGAATAAGATAGGGAAGAGGAACCCCGCAAGACATGTTGTTTTACGCTGGACTCTAAGGAGATAGAACTGAGGTAATGGCAAGGGGATGGAGACAGGTACCCTTCTTGGAACACAGCGTAGGGTTACCTTATTGTGACAGGGGGTTCTGATTGCTGTATCTTACCAGCAAAGACTTAGTTTGAAACTGCGGTTCATTCACAGCAATCTCCGGGTCCACTATTTGCATGTAGCAGTTCGATGACCTACAGCGCTCTCTATCGGTGGACGTGGCTAGGGAGTTTACACACATGATGATGTCTCCACGCGCACATACAAGCATCCAAGAATATTTTGACAAGCTACTGAGCCCCTTAGGGCTTGTCACTTTAAAATGCTTTGAAAAACAAGTTCCTGTATATTTTCTAGATGTATCTTTCCGTAAAACTGCGGAAACATTACTTTTTAGGAAATTATGTCTAACCGCCGATATAAGCGAAGGGGAGAATTTAAGAAAGCAGGTTAGAAGACGATGCAAATAGTGAAGCAAAAAAGTACATTTGCTTGCGGTTCCCTATTGTCATACGAACCCATCATCACAGACAGTCGCACACGAAGGATGACGGTAGCAAAAGGAGTGCCGTATGGGACGTAGTCATCATGTCAGCCGCATGTCGCCTATATTTAGACGAGTCCACATCGGCGGTCGTATGTGATGAGAAGTCTGTTTATTAGGATACAACCGAGTAGATAATTGCCGTACTGTAAGCACTGGTGTTGCCTCTTGACGTGATAGTTGCTCTGGCATTTCGCTCATAGTCACTGAAACTGCTGGCCACTCGCGACTTGCCCATAGTGATAATTATTATGCGCAGGCTGTCTCAAAATATAAGGCGGAGCTGGGATAATACTACATTTGATAATCGACAACGGTCCCATCAAACGCAATTCGAGCACCTCGTGGCTCATGTGGTTGTGAACACTTGCGAGAATTTCGACCTCTTTAGGCTAGAAAACATTATCGGGTCCATCGCATTTGTGTCGATGTGAGAGATAGGGTCAGTCCTCTTCACTACTGCTGAGTTGATCGTCTTCATCTTGCGTATGCTAAGGACCTGCGTACAAGGTCTACGGTCATGGTAACATCAAGGATACTGACGTCAAGGCATCACATCAGAAGATAAATTTGGTTTTTTTTCGACAATTAAAATATAGGTACACCAAAAGAATTTATTATAGAATCTCACTAAGTTGGCAGCTTGGAGGTCTTGCGGGCCTTATTTATAAAACCAAAAAATGTATCTTTGCACCCCCAATGAACACATTCACGTAATAATCGTCAGTTATAAGATGAGGTGTCGCCTCCTCAGTGCGCATATTACTTAGGGAAGACCCGATTTTTCATCCCATCGAAATCTCCAGCGTCTGTTGAGTAAAAGTGGCAGTAAATCCCCCTTTCTTACCATTTCCGAATATCATTGAGAGCTGGATTTCCAGTTCGAACAGAAAATATCCCTATCCTGGAAACTAGGGAAAACGGGGTGATACGTGCTGCCATCTCGCAAAATCTATCATGCTTTTCTGCGAAGCAGCTGAGATCAAAGCCTGTTTTCCTTATATCTTGGTGTAACATGGGTTTTTCGTGAGGCAACGCTATAAACAGTCAACAGATTATCAAGATACATACTGCAAATTTTGCTTTCCAGTCGCCAACGGAATTCATTGCAAGCCAGAATGTCCGATTTCTTGCAATAGCCATCATCCAGGAGGAGAACGTGGGTCAAAAATGGTGATATCTGCAGAGTATGATCTTCGTAAAAAGTCGAGTCGTAGTTGACAATTCCACCCTAAAATGAGAACGAAAACTCATTGAACCTCACAAGAAGTGCGCTTAAAGATCATAGTAACTTATACTGGTAAAACATTGCTGCGTTTGTGATAAGCAATACGCATAAGCAGCATGGAGAATGCGGAACGTTTTACACAGTATTGTTTCGGGCTTATTCTGCCTGTATTTTGTCGGTCATAGCTCTGTGACATCGGAAACAGAAAAAGGCAGTATTACGTGCCACAGTGTCTGTTTTCAAGAAAAAATTGTTATTCACTTTTTAGACTGCACGATTGCAAACAGTGCTGTGGTAATGAAGAGGCATTTTCTGCCAATTTAGCTACAAAGGTACACCTTCGTAACTGAATTGGTAGAGCATTGCTTGTAATAAAGCCTACCCTGCGGATGTGGGTTCGAATCCTATCGGAGCCACGACATTTTCAACCTTGGGTCAATGGTATTATCACTTGGTTAACTTCGGCCTGGTAGTTGGTTGTCTGTTCGTGAACTTTGCCAACCTTACGGAGCCAATAGATCGATGTGCCTACATTCCTGATTTAATAAATTGTTGTGAGCCGATTCCTACTCGAACGCATAAGCATTCTGGGTGCTCGGCTATATGTAGTAGAACGTAATCCAAAGAGTTAATTTATTACCAAGTAATATGCCAGTGCTTGGAAATCCCAGCCAGTATAGCCAGCGATCCTGGAAGATGAGAAGTCTGCGATTCAAATTAGTCCGCATACTGCACGGTTTGCATTTATACGCTTGATCTGTGATGGTTATACAATTTCGAGAAAAGCGAATGGTAAAATGCTGATGAGGAAACAGATTCGGCTAACAACTAATAAAGCCCATGGACACTAAACCAATTATTTGTAGGGCATCATTCCATCAGCAATAGTACTTGACAACGTCAGAACAACTACGTTCAGGATGGCCCTACGAAGACCCAAAACCAGCTGCTACAGCCAATTACTCAGAAACCTGAACCGACCAGGCATAGTGACTTGACAGGTACCTGAATTGTAAGGGTCTCTCTCTGTGAGACTTGGCTCCAGGGCATCAAGCCGACGAAACGAACTCTCGGATTGCCTTCGTTTTTCAAAAGATTGTCCGCCTTCTCCAATGCCCTTCCAATCCTCCGCGTCATTGGGCAGTCCTCCCCATTTGCGATCACAACCACGTCCACAGTTTGAACTGTTTCAGTTAGGCCCTAAGGATTAAAGATAAAGTAAAGTAATTTCTGCACTGGTTTTATGCAAAGAACAAAAAAAGCGAAAGTAAGGAAACCACTTGTGACAACAGTGAGAGGCAACAGTAGCTTATGTAGGCCCACTCATTAATCCCTACTCCCTGCATGTTCTCCTACGAAAACGGTGGTTATCACTCATTAATCCCTACAACCTGCATTTTTTCCTACGAAAACGGTGGTTATCGGTTTTTGTGGGTGGGGAATTAGGACACACAATGGAGGATACTTTAATAAATGTTAAATGAATTTTTATTTTACTGTATTTATAAGTGTTGTTGATTTATATCTGT